ATATAACATGAGTTTCAAGTTACTGAATGATCAAATGGAATTTATAATTAGCATGGAACAGTGAGTGTGGAATCATCAAATGGTAATTATTTTGATTCAGTCAATGTGAAATACAAAACACAAGGGAGGAAACAATGTATACATGAGGGGTATCCACTCTTTGGAGGCTGATGGTAACATTGGGAATGTGCTGAAAGTGTCATGGTATGTTATAGGAGGTGTCCATTTACAAATGGCCACCAGTGTTAAAGGGCATAAAATTTCTTAGAAAGACATAGAAAAGACAATGATTGCTGATCTGTTTCCAAATGCAATTTAAATGAATAAGTATATAAGACTACCCAAGCTCTGAGATCTTTGGGGAGACACTTCCCTTGATCCCACTATGTCCACAGGCATATTTATTGGGAATGGAGGAGAGAGGACTTTTTCTGTGGCTGTTTCTAGACTCTGGAACTTCCTCTACTGCAGTGCTTCTCAATTATTTTCTGTCATGCCCCCCCTAGGAAGAAGAAAACATTTCGCGCTCCCCGCGCAACTGTAAATAGTATCATTTGTCTATAAAATTGTTATAAGTACACCTCTGCATAACACTGTATCCTTATTAACGTATATGAGAATAAAAAAAGAAAGAAATGTGGATCAATTTACAAAAAAGAATAGCTTTATTAACTGTAGCTGAAAAGATTTAAAGGGGCCTCGCGCCCCCCTTTACGGAGCCTTGCGCCCCCCCTTGGGGGTGCGCCCCACTATTTGAGAAGTACTGCTCTACTGGGAGGCCACACTGGCTCCTTCCTCACTGGCCTTTTCAAAGAAAGACTGTCTATTCCAGCACCTTTGAGGAATGTATTGTTTTACATGAAAAAAGCTTTTCTTAGAGTGCTATAATACTTTTATTCTTTGCTTTTAAATTAATATTTTAAATTACTTTAATGCCATGGACAACTTAGTAGTATTTTAATTTTAACCTTTTGTATGTTTTTAGTTACATGCGTTTTTACTTGTATTTCTTTTTATCTTGCAAGCTGCTTTGAGTCCCAGTTTTTGGAAGAAGCTACATTACAAATCAAGTGATAGACTGTTGAACAGATAGACAGATGGACAGACAGGAACTACTTAAGTGCTTCACTGCTTCTCCTCATTAGTCTCTGTGTAGGTTTCAGAATATTTACATACTATATAGTGGTGGAAAACACTCATTAACCACCATGTGCAAAGACTTTGATTTAAAGGTAAGTAGACAAAAATAGCTTAATGGAAGGGAAATTGCCACCCACCCCAGTAGCTACTTACATGCTCTTAAAAGCCTCACTGGGGGTGGGAGGTCAGGAGGACTCTGAACTATGTGGGATGTGTGGCATAGGTTGCTGCTAGAATAGATAGAAATCTCCCCAAATTAAGCAGACAAATGTCTGATTTTGAGTGATTTCCTCCTCTCTATGAAAGTCACACACACCCCTTGCTACATTGTTGAGTTCCCTTCAACCCTCCAGAGAGCTGTTTAAGGAACTGCAAGTGGTGGTGGGTGGGTGGGTAAAGTGCAAAATTTCCTTCCATTAACTTTTTCCAGTCTACTAATCTTGGGATCCAAGCCACAGCAAAGATCTGCACCAGCTCCTGTTCGTTGACACATGCATCTGTAAGATGCACCATGTACTGATAAACACATGCTATTTTCATGCTCACAGGGTACACCTATATGAAGACATATATAATGTCTTAAATATCAAATATGGGAAGTTGTACTCAGTTCTGTTTTATTCCAGTTTCTTCCACTTTTACTTGAACAGAAGCAGAACCTGAGCAAAGTTGTGTAGGGGAGGGGTTGGACAGATGGTACCTCTGGATCTATGGATAGATTTCTAGTTAATTTGCTGTGGATCAACAAGAGCTGCTGACTCCCAGTAGTTTAAGAAGAGCAAATAAATATGTATTTTTAAAAAACTGTCATGGTTGGATTTACTAGGGAGTTTAGTTTAAAACTGCTAGAACTACTGTGATCTATTACCATTCAGTTCCAGTAACCAGATGTTGTTTTTCTGACAATTGCAGTTAGAGGCCCAAGTGCTGCAGGACATAGTGAGCTCCCGTCACTAGTCCCAGCTTCTGCCAATCTAGCAGTCTGAAAGCATGTAAAAGTGAAGTAGATAAATAGTTACCACTTTATTGGGAAGGTAACAGTGTTCTGTGCAGTCATGCTGGTCACGTGGTCACAGAGTTGGCTTTGCTTTGGCAATGCTGGCTCTTTGGCTTAGTAATGGAGATGAGCACTGCCCCCTACAGTTGGACATGATTTGACAACCTTGTCAAGGGGGAATACCTTTACCTATATCTCAAGGTGAGTGTCCAGGACAGAATTGGAATGCTGTTGGTGTACCACCCACCCTGAGCCAACATTTTCCCATCCTGAGCTATCCATGTTCATCTGAGGTAGTGCTGGCATTCCTTTGGCTAGCAGATGTCAACATCCATTGCTCAATCTTTGCCAGTAAAAAAGGCTCAATTGCTCAGAACTTTATGGCCTCTGTGGCAATCATGAATGTGTCTCAGTTGGTATCTGGCTTCACTAATTCTGCACAGCAAACTCTGGTTTTGATTTTTTGTAGAAGTTTGGACAATTGAGATTTGGGTGTGGAGGAACTTTCTATAGTTCTTTTGTCATGGACATATCAAGACCCCAATTAAGATGGTCCATTCCAGGGGACTGAAGGAGTCAGAAAGTTTTGTAATAGCTGTTGGGGATCTTCCTGTTATTTGGCTAGTGATTGTATAGAAGCCTTGGCTGACCTCTGGAAGACATGGCCTGAGCTGTTGACACAATTTCTCCTGAGTTCTCCTACACTTTGAAAATAAGCAAACAAGGTCCTTTGATTTTCTAGGAGTTGAGAGTGGTGAAACAAATAGGGCACTGACTTGAGAAATTTTAATGGTAACGTCAGAATGAATTCACTAAAAGTAGGATAGAGCCCAAAAGAAATTCTACTGTGTGGTGGTGATGACAAATAAATCATTCCTCTCTGTACCCTCTCTGCACAGATTATCCCAATAGAGAAGGCCTTGGTACATTTTGTCCTTCAAGAAAAAAAACAATAACCTATTTGCATGAAATAGGTTGAAAATAAAAGCATCCAAACCAGATTTTATTTGGATTCCATATTTGATCCAGGTTAGTCCCATGGATGGAACTTTGGCTTTTGCCGCTTGAACTATAATGGATGCTTTTTATTTTGTACAGCTCAAGAATGTTGATAGGATCCTTGGAGAAGTGCGACCCATAATGCATCCTTGAGCTTTGCCCTCCTTGGTTTATAAAAGTAACTGGGGGGGACGGCTGATAGGGTAGTGGTGAATAACTCTCTGCAACAAAGTGTGCTCCCATCAAGCTTAAAAGGGGCAATAATGAGATCTTGGGTTAAAAACATGCTCCCTGCCCCCATTTATATTGTACAGTTTCTAGCCAGTTTTCAATATTCCATTATTGGGTCAATGTGGCTTGTCATCTCCAGGAGTTTCTTGTTGAGATCATGTGAATGGAGAGCATTTTCATTTGGGAGGGCTATATTTCAATTTGGGGAGGTTCTTGGAGTGTGTGTGCAAAAATTCCTTAGCTGCCATTTTGATAGCATTGTAATTACAAGGCACACAGTGTGACAAAAGGAAGTAGTTATCTATTATTAATTTTTATTCTAGTGGATCATTTTGGTCACATGTTCACATGTTAGAACAAAGGTGAACAATCGTTTTCAGCCCAATGGCCAAATTCAATTTCAGAGAAGTTCTCAGGCATCACATTCCAGTGGTGGGTGGTGATCAAGGCAAAAGGGTTGGACCATAAAATGCCAGAATAGTTTAGCGTAAATATTTTGCTGCTAGTACCTGAGCTTTGAGAGAGAGATTTGAATCTTTTAGATTGGGGTCAAACCTGTTCACAACATTGGATACCATCAAATGACTGTATGGGGTGGTGGACATGATCATTTATGTGAGTATAAAGGCAGATCCAGCAGGACTGGTTTGGCTCCAGGCTCTGAGGTTCCTCAGACCCTTGTGTTACATTATGTCCAGTTATAACTTGGTGCCAAAGTTCTATTAATTCAATCTATGTAAAATGGGTGGTGGTGTGTGTGTTTCGGCCACAAAACATTGTATTTTTCTGTTTTAATTTGTTTATATCTGCCACCTTCTCTGAAGAGTTAAAGCAGCTTGAATGTAGCTCCCAACCAATGTAGACCCCCATCAACATTTTAGCATCAAACTTTATCAAATGTCTTTGGAGCTCAAGCCTCTTGTCATAGCTGATGGCTATTTCTTCCCTGGGTATTATCTTATGGGGGGGGGGAACCCACTTTTCTGGGCTCTAGTTGGGCATGGCAGAAGATGAAAGGCCAGCACGGTCCTAGGACTATGTACATGAGTCACTACGGAGATGCCAGCAGCACTGAAGTCTGGTGCAGGGTGCCATTCCCCAACTATCCTCCACCTCCTGATAACTGCATGTTTCTGTGTTGTTCAGTACTGTGGAAAATCAATACCTGGAGGAGAAAACTGGAGTTGAAGGGTATGCCTTTACCACTCTTAATTGAGGGGTATGCCTTTACCACTACTGTGATCTATTACCATTCAGTCCCAGTAACCAGATGCTGTTTTTCTGACAATTGCAAGATTGGCAGTTTGGCAGGCCCAAGTGCTGCAGGACATAGTGAGCTCTTGTCACTAGTCCCAGCTTCTGTCAACCTAACAGTTCAAAAGCATGCAAATGCAAGTAGATAAATAGGTACCACTTTGGTGGGAAGATAAACAGCGTTCTGTGCAATCATGCTGGCCACATGATCACAAGAGTAGTCTCTGACAACGCTGACTCTTTGGCTTAGAAACGGAGATGAGCGCCACCCCCTATGGTTGGACATGACTTGGCAAGATTTGTTCAGAGCAGGTTTGCCATTGGCTTCCCCTGAGGCTGGGAAAGTGTGACTTGCCCAAGGTCACCCACTGGGTTTCCATGGCCAAGCTGAGAATTGAACCTGGTCTTCAGAGTCACAATCTAACACTCAAACCACTACACCACATTGGCTCTTGCCTACTCAAATGTAAATGCCGGTAGGTTCAGTAGCACTTACCCCTAATCCTAATGGTGGCATTGGCCATGGATAATGTCCTGTGTTATGACATTGATGTGTTATTGTAGTTGTGGAGGATACAGCAACCTCTGCTCCTGGACAGAAGGGTCTTTAAAACATTGTTTGCCAGCATAAAAGCAAGTAGCCTATGTTGAGGCTGAAGATGTTCTTTTTTAAGTTTAGTTAAAAAAAAGAATAGTATTCTGGCCCTCGTTAATCTGATTAGCAAAAGGTATGCAAATAATAATATGGGTAGCAAAAGGTACCCTCATTAATATGGGTGGCAAAACCATGTTAGAAGTTTACCACATTAGAAGACACTACTGTTACCAGTAATGCAAATATAATACTTTTGTGGATAGCAAGGGCATAATGATATTCTCGTTCTTAGAAAAACTAATGACTACGTCAACCTCATGTATAAGTCGAGGGCAGGTTTTGGGGCCAAAAATATGGATTTTGATATGATCCGTGAATAAGTCAAGTGTAAAATTTAGGGGCATGAACAAAGGATCTAAAGGATAAAGCAAAGGAAACAATATCCAGGAATGTACAAAATTCCAGCAGGCATAACTGTTTGTGCTCACACTAAAGGTTCCAGGACAGATTGCACTTTTGCCTTTCACCAGGGGATGTTTTTTTTTTTTTCATTTTAAATAAGTGTTACAGTACAGTACGTATATTGGCCTATGGATAAGTTGACTCAGATTTTTTGGGTCAATTTTTTGACTAAAATTTCTAGACGTATACATGAGTGTGAAAAGTCATTTGTGGGGCAGTTTCACAATTGCCAGTCATGTGGTGTCAATGCCTCTCCTCCCTCCTTTCCTCCCTTACTAATCCATTTAATTCCCCCCCCCCCCCCAGTCTTTTGTGCAATTTCGGCATTCTGCAGCCTTAATTTAAGTTTTAAAAAACTTTTTAAAGCTTAAATTGTGGCTGTAGAGCTCTGGAATTGTGTGGAAAAGTTGGATTTAAAAAAAAAAAAAAACACCCTAAAGGCATTCAGGGTAGGGCATGAGGGAGGGAGAAGGGAGAGGGCAGGAAGGGAACATAATAGGAGCAGCAGGCCTGGTTGTCGAAATAGAAGAAGTGTGGTGGTGGCTACCTCCAAAGCAGTAAGTTCCTATTTTAATTTAATTGTGAGGCTGCAGCAGGAAAGGGGCTGGTGTGATAATCTCCCTCGACTCCTATATTTGTTGTGTTCACATTCTCTTGGTAGCTTTTCCTGGCCCTCTTCTTTCAATGCCTAATCTCTACAGTGGTCCCTCCATATTCGCTGGGGTTAGGGTGAAGGACCCCCATGAATGTAGAAAAAACACAAATTAAAAATCACTATTCTTTTTACCTTACAGAACACCTCTCTAGCAATCTCCAGGTCTTCCAGTGCAACATTTGCCAGAACGGTCAACATTTGCCAGAGTGTGACCATAGAATCACACTAGAGGACCTACAAAGGCCTAGAGAAGTGTTTTCTTTAGGAACCTCTAGAAGACCTAGAAATTCGTAGAGAGGACATATTAATCAAAACCGCAAATAATCAAATCCGCAAAAGTCAAAGCTGCAAATGTGGAAGGCCAACTGTATTTCTAAATTCTCAATTGAAATTTTAAGTTGCTGCAATAGTCAGTGGTGTCACTGGGGGTGGGTGGGGGTGTATGGACTGCTCAGGGTGACACCCCAGAGGAGGGAGGACACCCAGTTGGGCCCTCCTCCCCCTTTGGCGCAGGAGGGCAAATGCACACCCTTCCTGGCTGCTCCAACTCCAGGGGAGAAAGCCTGGTGATGGAGGAGAGGAGGGGTGAACGTCCCAGCTGCTCCTTTGCAGGGTTTCCTCCAGGAGAGGCAAACATGCTCCTTCTGTCTCCTCCTGCTGCCTCACTTGTCCAGCCAGGGTGATGCAATAGCTGGGAATGGAGGGGAGGCAAGAGAATCCACCGTACCGGGTAACACCGTAGATAGGAACACCATTGGCAACAGTAGAAATTTGTTGATTGATGGAAAAATTCAATACTTTCAACTGCCTCCCCCCTCCATAGCTACACTCCTCCTGATCATGCCATTCATTCCATCGCATTGCGACTTATCTTTTCCAAACCATTCCAAATTCTGAAAGTAAACGATATTTTTAAAAAATCTGCAAAGCACAGGTTGAGTCTTCCTTATCCAGAATTCCAAAATTCAGAAATATTCCTAAAACCAAAACTTTTTTCATGGGTGACTGAGATATTGACACCTTTGCTTTCTGATGATTCAGTGTGCACACACTTTGTTTCATGCACAAAATTATTTTAAACTATTGTATAAAATTACCTTCAGGCTATGTATATAAGATATATGTGAAACATAAGTTAATTTTTGTGTTTAGACTTGGTTCCCATCTCAGGATATCCCATTAGGTATGTATATGCAAACACAGGTATGTATATCCAAAACATCTCTTGTCCCAAGCATTTTGGATACGGGAGACTTGACCTGTAGCATAATCATATGTTGTATTTTTATGGGAGAGCTACAGCTCTGAGTTGCAAGGGAAACAAGCAGAATATACAATACTTTTTACTTTTTAACTGAAGTCTATGAAAGCTCATGCTGCCAATTTCTTTCTGTTAGTCTCAAAGGTGCTACAAGATCTCTCTACACACTGATTCTACAGACTAACGTGACTATATATTTGAATACTTTCTAACGTCATTTGCTGGCATGTAGCCTAGCCCTTTGGGGGAAAATAGGAGTGATGTTTCTATTTTGTACCTAGTTACGCTGCTGACTCCTAATTTCATTGTGTTGGCTCCCTCATTGTGTCAGTGTTTGGGAGATGAGGGAGGGAGGGAGGCAAATCACTATAAATAGTATACCAAGAGAGAAGTTTTTAAAAGAAAAGAAAAAGAAAATTCTTATTTTCCTGGAGAAAGATAATTTGCAACAATCTCTTACGGGGATCAGTAATGTTGTAGAGAAAGGAAACTTCTGTACTGAATGAGAGAATTAGAGACTACAAGTCTGTTGTCACCCCCAAACTCTGGTACGGCCTGTCGGACAAGATCCATCAGTTAACATCACTAGACAGCTTTAAAAAAGCTGTCAAGACGGATCTCTTCGGCAGGCCTTTCCTGATTAATTCTTCCCGGCCTTAACCTGCACTGTTCCTTACGTGGCCCCATCTTGGATGGACAGGAACACTGCAACGGGCCATAGTGGAGTGTCTATTGTGTTGTATAATTTTAAGTTTTAATTGTTATATTGTTTTTAAGCTGTTGTGATTTAATACTGTTTTAAGGGGGGAGGGATTGTTGTGGGGTTTGTATTTGATTTTTATTTGTAATCTGCCTGGATTGGTTTTCCAATAGGCGGGGTATTAAATAAATTATTATTATTATTATTATTATTATTATTATTATTAAGTTGAATGCCAGCAAAAATTAGCAGAAAGGTCTGGGGATCATTAGCTTTGCTTCTACCTTGGGCATTCTTCTGAGATGTTACTTCTTTCTGGGCAATTCTGTTAAACCCTGATGCTTTGTTACTGTCTTGCTTTTACTGGAGAAAATACCCCTGCATCCAAGGCAGCTGTGACTGTGAGGTGGTGCAGATGTTTTCCACAAACGTTTTCAAACACAAGGTCATCTGCAATTATTTTTCATAGCCAAGCACTTATGTCCTGCTCACTGTCAAGAAGATAGCTTGCCAGTGGCAGTGCTTGGCTGTGTATCTCTCTGGTGTTTGGCAAATTATGTTCCCTCCTTTAATTTGAGCCCTCCATCATTCATATTTCTGCTATACTGGTGAGTGTCCTAATTGTACAACCACATACATATGAGACATTCCTTATTATTAATAGATAGATAGATAGATAGATAGATAGATAGATAGATAGATATTTGGCTTGAGGTGACGCATGACTGAGATTGAGGGAAATGGTATTGTGACTGGGGATTGCATTGCAGCGCCATCATGAATCAGGACTTAAGGATCTCTTAGCTTGGCAAGAATATCCTGCTTGGACTGGTATGAGTGGCAATATATCTACTGCTGTTTTGAGAAAGGAAACAGTATGCCCTGTTTTTAATGTGAAGGCCGGATTCACACAAACATTTTTGGATGAGAATTATATGATGAAGTGTCACACCAAGTGGTGTGTGATCTGTTTGTATGAATGTATAAGACTGGCTCTGCGAGGGTTTGGAAACATCCCTACTATTAGACAGAGTAAGGAAACTGAAGCTGATTCAATAACATCCAGCATTCACAAAACAGTGATACCTTTATTGGGCCAACCAAAAAATGCACAATATACATCATGCAAACTTTTGAAGCACCAGTGATGATGTTAGAGTCACAGGCCTACATTTTGTCAAAATGTTATTTTTGTTGTCAGTTAAGATGATCTGGAGGGATATCAATGCAGGCAGAGACCACTGCTGCCTTTGGCCACGTGGGCCAAATATTACTAATAACTCATAATGATGCTGATTCAGAGTATCATGAAAGGACTACAACAAATAGTTAGATATTTACTTCATGATACTATATTATTACTACAAAGGAGTGAGAGATGCTAATACTTGGCCAATCTCGGGTACTATGCATCTTGGGGTAGCAGTGACACAATTTACTGCTGTCCTTCAGGATTAAAAATATATATATATAAATCTTGCTTTAGCCTTGGAGACGGTTCAAAAATACACCATGATTTACCACCTCCAGGCTTTGCTCATTTTCCTGCTGTCTTCCAGAACTTGATATGCTGAGATATTGACACATGGTTCTTGGACCACTCACAAAGTGGGATAGGGAGCAAGCTATGTCAACAGGCTATTTCTGTGGAGTCTAATAGCACCTTCTCACATTTTGTTCTGTAGCAGTCAACTAGATGGTCTGTAGCAGACCATAGTCTAGGAATCTGGGTTACTGCAGAGCAGCTAAAAAGCATCAAGAAGCCTTAGTTTGAAGG